AACTGTTGGGCTTCTGTAAATAGCATCATAGAGTACGGTCTAGACCAGCTCTTTTATGAAAAGCGCTGTGAAATAACTGTTGTTGTGATTTGGCGCTATATAAATAAAATTGAATTGAATTGCTCTAGTGTTCAGTGGCGGCGTGCTTTACACCACTGCATCCGACACTTTGCATTGCACTTGTAAGGCTTGGATGCAGCTGCTCGGCCGTGGAAACCCATTCCATGAAGCTCTCCACGCATTATTCTTGAGCTAATACGAAGGCCTCATGATGTTTGGAGGTCTGTAGCTATTGACTCTGTAGAAAGTTGGAAAACCTCTGTGCACAGCATGCGCTGACCCTGCTTTGTGATTTTATGTGGCCTACCAGTCACTTCCACTTCATTATAATAACACTAACAGCTGACCTTGGAATATTTAGTAGTGAGGAAATTTCATGAATCAACTTATTGCCAGGTCCCAGTACCACGCTTAAATTCACTGAGCTCCTGAGAGCGACCCATTCTTTCAGAAATGTTTGTAGATGCAGTCTGCAGCCTAGGTGCTTGATTTTATAAACCTGTGGCCATGGAGGAGAGTGGAATACCTGAATTCAGTGATTTGGAGGGGTGTCCTAATACTGTTGCCAATGTAACATATACTATATGTTAAATGTGAAACAGAACACAATTTAAGGGGTGGGGGAGAGCAGGTGAAACAAGGCTTTGGTTCTAGAGTTTGAAAAAGTTGGTCACGTGTTATTGTCTCTTTTGGTGAAGAGTTTAATGAGATCCATGGAGGGAGTCTCCAGTCTGATAAAAACTTTCTGAACTCATTCTAAGTGCATTTTAAAGTCTGCTAGCTGTGAATGAATAAGATAGGATGATAGGATAAATCAACTTTCAAAGTGAGACTTACTCATTTGCAATTTCAGTATCTCATATTATCTGCCTTTAATTGATTAATGCTTATTCTTAATGGATGAAGATTCAAATGTAACGTATATAAGTCTTAGTGGGTATGTAGAAGTGGTAAAATACAGATATCTCTATTTTGTGATTATTTTCACAGTATATATTCTGATAATCTTCTGTAATTCCATCATTGTATGCATCATTGTGATTCACCGAAACCTCCATGAGCCTATGTATGTGTTTATTGCAGCTTTGTTAATCAACTCTCTTCTTTTCAGCACTGTTATCTACCCAAAGCTTTTAATTGATTTTCTTTCAGAAAGACAGATCATATCATACTCAGCCTGTCTCTTTCAATATTTTTTATTTTACACTTTAGGTGGTTCAGAATTCTTACTGTTGGCAGCCATGGCCTATGACAGGTATGTGTCTATATGTAAACCTCTGCAATATCCGACTATCATGAGGAAAACCACTGTCAGTCTTTTCTTGGTTTTGGCCTGGCTCGTGCCAGCTTGTCAGGTCGCGGGGGCTGTTGCATTTACCGCTAACAAAAAATTCTGTAGTTTTACTTTGAAAGGAATCTTTTGTAACAATTCAATTAACAAACTTTACTGTGTGAGCTCAGATGAGCTCTCTGTGTACGGCTTGATTGTTTTGTTGAACGTTCTTTTTTTCCCTATGCTCTTTGTATTTTTCACATACACAAAGATTTTCATAATAACCTATAGAAGTAGTAGAGAAGTCAGGAGAAAAGCTGCACAGACCTGTTTGCCCCACCTGCTTGTTTTAATCAGCTTTTCATTGTTGTGTACATATGATATTATTATAATTAGACTGGAATCAGATATTCCAAACAGTGCACGTTTAATAATGACTTTACAAGTCGTTTTGTATAATCCTCTCTTTAATCCAATCATATATGGACTAAAAATGAAAGAAATTTCTAAACACATCAAGAGGCTTTTTTGTTAACACTGACAAATAATAGGCAGTAATTTCTTCTTAATAATGTTTTGAAACCAAAACAGAACCTAGTTTACTAGTAATGACATTCATATGAGTAACATTATCTCTGGGTGTATTGATGAAGTTCATAATGGCCATAAAGTAAAGATAGGAATATTTTAAATGTTGAAAAGTCAAGACATGAACACAAAAGCATGTATATGTGCGCCACTGATTTTTCTCTTGTAATTTGTTAATATATGGATTTGAAACAAATACATTTGCACAATGCTCTGGTCAACGCAACTCTGACAAAAGCTTCAGTATGAACCATGGAGAGACACCTCTGAGACTGACCATGTGTACTTGGTTTGTAAAAAGAAACATTGTGCTGCACTATTTTTAACAAAGCTGCTTTCAGGTTTTTAAGTTCAAGTTTTGTGTCTTTCTGGTAGAGCTCAAACTGTTGTTGCTGTTGTGGCCGTACACTAACTGTGACGCTGTTGGTACCCCTCTGGCGCAATATCCTGATGCGCCATCAAAGTCGTAACTTAAGTTACGCAACCAAAGCCGGAGACACACAGAATCCAGCGAGGACGCATCTGGACGCTGCATACCAATGAATGCTCCAGGTCGAAGGTGATGATTTGGGAAGTGCTGAGCTGTGGATTGTCTGTTTTCAACATAGCGGCCGGATCATATTAGAGCTAAACACTACAAAATAAAATATGTTTCTGAAAACATTTGAGGGGAGAAATAGACAATCCAGCAATCTCTGCTGCCCGCATGTGCTAATCCATTCTTTCACGTCTTTTCCTTTTTCATTTTTTATAATATTTAAACTATAAAAATATAAACTATATAAAATATACTACTCCTGTTTCACGCAGGGTTTTGCATAATTTCCTGTGTCCTCGCTTGTGTTTTCTTAACAAAACATAGTTTGGAGACCTGCAGGAGTCGTCAGGTGACAAAGTTGTTGTCAGTTAGTGTTGTGCAGTGGCTCTCACGCCATGGACCCCAGGGGTCCTTGAGGGGGTATATGTATGACATTTTTCTTTGTTTGTCATTGGTTTCATACACTTTCTGTAATAAAACATCTTAAAGCAAAGTGTTGTCTAATCATATCTGGTCAAGTGCTGCTGCTGTAAAAGATCTTTCAGTTATAATGATAATGAGTGGGTTCAAACCCCGGTTGCCCCGGCCTGTTGCATGTTCTCCCCGTGTCTGCGTGGGTTCTCTCCTACCATCCAAAAAAATAAAAGGCTAGGTTGATTGGATACCCTAAATTGCCCTTAGGTGTGAGTGTGAGTGGTTGTTCGTCTATGTGTGGCCCCGCGATGGACGGGCAACCTGTCCAGGGTGTACCCCGCCTTGTGCCCGATGTCAGCTGGGATTGGCTCCAGCCCCCCCGCGACCCTGTATGCAGGATAAATATTATGGAATAATAATAATAATGAGTACAGAAAGTGTTGAGGTGGCGTGTATTCAAAAATCCTTAAAAATGCGGTATTGGACAGAGAATAGAGAATATTGAACACTGAATCAGTTCATTTGGCACATTATTTTGGCCCACAACTTCTTCTCCAGTCCTGATACATCATATAGGGAAGTTGGAAACTACTAAAAAATTTACTAAAGGTTTAGTCTTTGAATGAGAAAAACTTCAGTGGGAAAAACAAAGCATATTCAGTTTCTACAGCAGTGGAGAGTATATGGTGTTTTCAACCAAACGGCGCTAAGTAAACCAGTACGACCAAATGGTAGTGATTACAGACCTTTTTTGAATATTTTATATCTATGTATGTACTATATAATCATACTATAATATACACTATATTGCCAAAGTTAAGTTATTAAGTTTTGGGTCGCTTGAAGGTCAATGACATCACATTCTCAATCCAGTTTAGTATGGAGTTGGCCCACCCTTTGCCGCTATAACAGCTTCAACTCTTCTGGGAAGGCTGTGCACAAGGGTTAGGAGTGTGTTCATGGGAATTTTTGACTATTCTTCTCAGGCACAGATGTTGGACGAGAATGCCTGGTTTGCAGTCTCCGCTCCGTAATTATTCCCAAAGGTGTTCTATCGGTGTTCAGCCATGTTGGAACAGGACGGGGTCATCCCCAAACTGTTTCCACAAAGTTGGGAGCATGAAATTCCAAAATGTATTGGTATGCTGAGGCATTAACAGTTCCTTTCACTGAAACTAAGGGGCCAAGCCATAATCCCCCTCCACCTAACTTTACACTTGGCACAATGCAGTCAGGCAAGTACCGTTCTCCAGGCAACCGCCAAAGCCAGACTTGTCCATCGCATTGCCAGGCGGAGAAGCGTGATTCGTCACTCCAGAGAACACGTCTCCACTGCTCTAGTGTTCAGTGGCGGCGTGCTTTACACCGCTGCATCCGACACTTTGCATTGCACTTGGTGATGTAAGGCTTGGATGCAGCTGCTCGGCCGTGGAAACCCATTCCATGAAGCTCTCCACGCATTATTCTTGAGCTAATACGAAGGCCTCATGATGTTTGGAGGTCTGTAGCTATTGACTCTGTAGAAAGTTGGAAAACCTCTGTGCACAGCATGCGCTGACCCTGCTTTGTGATTTTATGTGGCCTACCAGTCACTTCCACTTCATTATAATAACACTAACAGCTGACCTTGGAATATTTAGTAGTGAGGAAATTTCATGAATCAACTTATTGCCAGGTCCCAGTACCACGCTTAAATTCACTGAGCTCCTGAGAGCGACCCATTCTTTCAGAAATGTTTGTAGATGCAGTCTGCAGCCTAGGTGCTTGATTTTATAAACCTGTGGCCATGGAGGAGAGTGGAATACCTGAATTCAGTGATTTGGAGGGGTGTCCTAATACTGTTGCCAATGTAACATATACTATATGTTAAATGTGAAACAGAACACAATTTAAGGGGTGGGGGAGAGCAGGTGAAACAAGGCTTTGGTTCTAGAGTTTGAAAAAGTTGGTCACGTGTTATTGTCTCTTTTGGTGAAGAGTTTAATGAGATCCATGGAGGGAGTCTCCAGTCTGATAAAAACTTTCTGAACTCATTCTAAGTGCATTTTAAAGTCTGCTAGCTGTGAATGAATAAGATAGGATGATAGGATAAATCAACTTTCAAAGTGAGACTTACTCATTTGCAATTTCAGTATCTCATATTATCTGCCTTTAATTGATTAATGCTTATTCTTAATGGATGAAGATTCAAATGTAACGTATATAAGTCTTAGTGGGTATGTAGAAGTGGTAAAATACAGATATCTCTATTTTGTGATTATTTTCACAGTATATATTCTGATAATCTTCTGTAATTCCATCATTGTATGCATCATTGTGATTCACCGAAACCTCCATGAGCCTATGTATGTGTTTATTGCAGCTTTGTTAATCAACTCTCTTCTTTTCAGCACTGTTATCTACCCAAAGCTTTTAATTGATTTTCTTTCAGAAAGACAGATCATATCATACTCAGCCTGTCTCTTTCAATATTTTTTATTTTACACTTTAGGTGGTTCAGAATTCTTACTGTTGGCAGCCATGGCCTATGACAGGTATGTGTCTATATGTAAACCTCTGCAATATCCGACTATCATGAGGAAAACCACTGTCAGTCTTTTCTTGGTTTTGGCCTGGCTCGTGCCAGCTTGTCAGGTCGCGGGGGCTGTTGCATTTACCGCTAACAAAAAATTCTGTAGTTTTACTTTGAAAGGAATCTTTTGTAACAATTCACTTAACAAACTTCACTGTGTGAGCTCAGATGAGCTCTCTGTGTACTGCGTGATTGTTTTGCTGAACGTTCTTTTTTTCCCTTTGCTCTTTGTATTTTTCACATACACAAAGATTTTCATAATAACCTATAGAAGTAGTAGAGAAGTCAGGAGAAAAGCTGCACAGACCTGTTTGCCCCACCTGCTTGTTTTAATCAGCTTTTCATTGTTGTGTACATATGATATTATTATACTTAGACTGGAATCAGATATTCCAAACAGTGCACGTTTAATAATGACTTTACAAGTCGTTTTGTATAATCCTCTCTTTAATCCAATCATATATGGACTAAAAATGAAAGAAATTTCTAAACACATCAAGAGGCTTTTTGTTAACACTGACAAATAATAGGCAGTAATTTCTTCTTAATAATGATTTGAAACCAAAACAGAACCTAGTTTACTAGTAATGACATTCATATGAGTAACATTATCTCTGGGTGTATTGATGAAGTTCATAATGGCCATAAAGTAAAGATAGGAATATTTTAAATGTTGAAAAGTCAAGACATGAACACAAAAGCATGTATATGTGCGCCACTGATTTTTCTCTTGTAATTTGTTAATATATGGATTTGAAACAAATACATTTGCACAATGCTCTGGTCAACGCAACTCTGACAAAAGCTTCAGTATGAACCATGGAGAGACACCTCTGAGACTGACCATGTGTACTTGGTTTGTAAAAAGAAACATTGTGCTGCACTATTTTTAACAAAGCTGCTTTCAGGTTTTTAAGTTCAAGTTTTGTGTCTTTCTGGTAGAGCTCAAACTGTTGTTGCTGTTGTGGCCGTACACTAACTGTGACGCTGTTGGTACCCCTCTGGCGCAATATCCTGATGTGCCATCAAAGTCGTAACTTAAGTTACGCAACCAAAGCCGGAGACACACAGAATCCAGCGAGGACGCATCTGGACGCTGCATACCAATGAATGCTCCAGGTCGAAGGTGATGATTTGGGAAGTGCTGAGCTGTGGATTGTCTGTTTTCAACATAGCAGCCGGATCATATTAGAGCTAAACACTACAAAATAAAATATGTTTCTGAAAACATTTGAGGGGAGAAATAGACAATCCAGCAATCTCTGCTGCCCGCATGTGCTAATCCATTCTTTCACGTCTTTTCCTTTTTCATTTTTTATAATATTTAAACTATAAAAATATAAACTATATAAAATATACTACTCCTGTTTCACGCAGGGTTTTGCATAATTTCCTGTGTCCTCGCTTGTGTTTTCTTAACAAAACATAGTTTGGAGACCTGCAGGAGTCGTCAGGTGACAAAGTTGTTGTCAGTTAGTGTTGTGCAGTGGCTCTCACGCCATGGACCCCAGGGGTCCTTGAGGGGGTATATGTATGACATTTTTCTTTGTTTGTCATTGGTTTCATACACTTTCTGTAATAAAACATCTTAAAGCAAAGTGTTGTCTAATCATATCTGGTCAAGTGCTGCTGCTGTAAAAGATCTTTCAAATAGTGCAGAATATATTTCAATTATATATTTATGCTTATAAAGTGACATTCAGATTGTGTTTATCAGAAGTGACAGTGTTCAGTTTGGACACCTGGTTCTAAAACTTTTATGACCCCGCCACACCATGATGTTTTTAACATTTAAAATGCTTTATGGTCATATGAACTCTGGCACCTATTTCCAGGAAAAACGACTAAAATAACATACCCAAAATAAATCAGTAATATCTCCTCAACCATTAGGCCTAGATGCATAATTCTCCTTTGAAAGGTCAGAAGCTGAGGAATATAAATCCATTGTACATTAACATATTTATTTTACCATTACAGACTACATGGAGATGAAATACAGAAAAAATATGATATTTTCATCCTCGCCTGGAAAAAAAAGCTATATTTTAATGCAATAAACCATCAAAACCATCATAAGATTATAATGCACCTGAATATCTTCTAATCCATCTAGAATACAACTGTAACTGTAAATTTGATGAAAAGAAACTGATATGCAACAGTTATTACACAATCTTTCAAAAATATACAAGGCGAATGTCCATGTTTTGGCCATATTTACTGTTTATATGTTCACTTTTATTGGGAGTTATCTTCAAAACATTATTTCTCTCCATACAATCACGTTCCAAATAACATAAAGCTTCCAAAACATTGACGTATTCATGAAAACAGTCAATATATATGACCAAAAGCACTCCCATGCTTTACAGGCCACAGCTTGAGAACAGAGCATCCTACAGGGCTGCATGTCTGTGTAGTTCCTACGGGTCGCCAGCAGCGGCCGATAAAGACCTCACCGCCAGACAGTCTCTGTTGAAACAAAGGGCCACTGTTTGGACGGAAAACAGCTAGAACAGCGAAAATCGATTACGCCCCCCGTATTGGGCAAGTCCATGTCCAAGTGTTAAGAAAGTGACCATAAACTGAATAAGTGAATGGGGTGCTTTAAAAATTTAAAACAGAATTAAGACCCTCCAGCCAAAAACTCTGGGACTGTGACTCCCCTGGCCACCATCCTGTAGAAGGCCAGGGGAGTGGAGGGTAGTGGACGTCAACCTACGATGTCCTGTTGGGCAGACCTCTGGACCTGTTCCCCCGATCTGCCTGTTGGGTCATCCTCCTTGTCGTCCCCCTGAACTGTTCTGTCCCCCTGCCCTACTCTACCTGTTGGGTGACCTCTGGGTCATCCTCCCTGAACTTTTTGGCTCCCCCTGTCCAGCCCTCAGCCCGCCTGAGCTCCCCCGTCCTGCCCCCTGTCTGCTCCCTGGACTGCCTTGTTTTTTGACCCTCCTTCTGACTTCTCTCCACCCACCCTGGGTCAGCTTGGACTTGGTGTGTTGAAGCTTTTTTTGTGAACTGATGATTTTGTTCTGGTTTGTTTTGGAACATCAAGGGACATTCTTTGGAGGGGGGTAATGTCACAAGTCTGCCTGTCTACCCAGTACTAGTACTGATCTCTGCCTCCCTTGTTAATTATTTGATTATGTTTGCTCTGTTTTCTGCCTGTTTTGTGTAGTTATTCTTGTCTGCTCTGTCTGTGGTTTGATGTCAGTCTGTTCTGTGTTTCTTGTTTCAGTCTGTTTCCCTGTTATGTTGTAGTCTACTCTGTGCCTTTAGTACTGGTTAGTCTGTTTCCTGTGTAGCTTGCTGTTGCTTTGTCTCAGTCTCGTGTCATTTGATGTAATTCTGCCTGGTCATTCGCGTTGCTCTTTTCTGTGGATTTTGGATTTCTATTGGATTACTTGTTCTGTTGGATTGGCTCGTTTTGTTAGGACTATTTTTGGAAACCCTCAGCTCAGCCACTCTGCCTGTAAGTGAGCTAGCCTTTTGCTCATAAATAAATCTCTGAACTGTACTTGCCTGATATGTGTCCTGCATTTGGGTCCTCCCACCTTTCTTTTTTTTTTTTTTTTTTTAAACCTGTCCTCCCCAGCAGCCTGGTATAGAGTATAATGACCTGGATACCATATTGTGCCAGACAGATTTTACTTTAACAAGAGAGTATTAAAATACTCCTTTGTCTGTTTTATTATTTATTTAATTATGTATTGATTTGTCACCGGGCCGGACAGGGGGGCAGACACGGGGATGGGGGGGGCACAAACAGACAGCACAGAGAAAGGACAACACCAGCCAGCCACATCCCCCATGCCCAGCACGCCCCCCGGCCGCCATGCAACACCAGCCAAACCAGCAACGAGGCAAAATCAACTAGCTCAGCTGCAGGCCACCAACAACCCACCCACCCGTCAAGGGCCGAGAACTCCAGGCACAAACACAGAACAAACCGGAGCACAGCCCTTCCCCGCACCCACACTGCACATCCCAAAAAATAACTATATACCTCAGTATCCAGAGGGGTCCAACAACTGGCCGACAGAGAAATGGGGAGGCACGGATCCGAGGCCAACGAAGCAAAACAGGGATGCAAACAGGTCCCTCCAAGCCAACGAGGAGATGCCTCCCCCGGACTCCAATGCACAAACTAAACGCCCAGCAGCCATCCAGAGACTCTGCCCAGGGAAAAAGTATAATGCATCAAGATGCGCCCGCACCGCAATGCATCTAAGAATCAACCCACCCCCAGACACACCTACCGGCCGTACGGGACCCTGACCAGCAAGTCAGTACACACCCACCCCCATTAAGTGATAAAGTTGATCAAGGGGAACCAGAGAGATTGGAATTGTGTCAATTTGTTTTTTTTTACAGCAGACATTTTCTCCATGCTAATGTGATCTATAAGGTGATTCCGATATTGGGGGATACTTATATTCTTTTTGGCCTTCCAGTTCATGAGGATAGTTTCTGATAGTTTTTAACAGTAACATGTATACTTTTGATAACAGTTTTGGAGGCGAGAGTTTAAGAAGTCTGTTATCATTGGAGGTAAATCTAAGTCCATTATGTTATCCTTAAATCTAGCCTGAATTATGGATTTAAACTGTTGAAATTCCAGAAATCTATTATGGCTAACTCCATATTGTGCTACTAGATCCTGGAATGGAATAAAGTTACTACCTTGCATTACATGCTCTAGATGTCTTCTCCCTTTGTCATACCACAGTGGGGAATTTAGTGTTTTCTTATTTTGCAGGATGTCAGGATTATTCCAGATTGGGGTAAATCTGCATGGGATAGGTAAAGACCCAGATATTTTGAGAAGTTGCCACCAAGCTGCCAAGGAAGTGCTTATGTTAATGCTTTTAAAGCAGGTATGACGTTTGATGCTGGAACTGATGAATGGCATATCGGAAATTTTAATTTCATTACAGAAGGTTTGTTCTATGTCCATCCATGAGTGGTCCAGGGGGCTCTGATTGATCCATTTTGAGATATATTGTAGTCTATTGGACAGGAAGTAATGATAAAAATTTGGCAGTTCTAAACCACCACAGTCTTTTGCTTTTTGCATAGTTTTTAGACTGATTCGTGGGGGTTTATTTTTCCACAAAACTTTTGAGATGTTTGAGTCCAGAGATTTAAACAGCAGACAGCAGAGGGTTTGGTGGGTAACATTGAAAACAGGTAATTGATTTTAGGTAGGACCATCATTTTTATGGTGGAGACTCTTCCCCTGAGTGATATAGGTAATGATGTCCACCGTACAAGGTCATCCTCTATAGATTTAAGTAAAGGCGTGTAGTTTAGCCATGTCAGTTCTGACAGCCTGGAGGAAATATTGACACCCAGATATTTAATATTCCCAGACTTTAGCAGTGTGGTAGATATACTCTGGAAATCACACTTTACAGGTAAAACTATGGATTTACTCTAGTTAATGGAGTAGTCCGAGATGGATGAGAATTTATCTATAAGTGTGATTGTCTCAGAAAGAGAAGTTTGTGAGTTTAGGAGGAAA